TATATAGAACGTGTGAATTGTCAACAAACTGACCACACAATAACCGAGTGACTTCGACAGAATGACAGTCACTTTACAAGTTCTAGTAGCGAAGGTTATCTGAGAGAGAGATTGAGACGGAGAGAGAGAGTGAGAGAGAGTGAGATTGAGAGAGGGTGAGTGAGAGTGAGGGAGAGGGAGAAAGCAAGAGAGAGATGTGTGGATGCATAGATGTACAGATGTTCAGACGAAGAGATGTGTATTGAGATAGAGTTTGAAGAGAGAAATGTGCACAGACTGACACAGAATCCTTTCGGCACTGAAAACTACAATGTGCACATCGACAAACTGAAACAGATACGAACAAGTTTCAAAGACGAAACAGTGCGAAATCGCAACATTAAAATGTCATACCAATCAAAACGAAGCATCATTCAAAGTGCTCAAACGAACACAATGATCAAACAAACTGCACTCGAACGAACACATCACCATGAGGAATCAAATCATAACTATTTATTTGACTGTGCAATGTATTACGATGAAAGTGATTTAGTAAGTTACCGATTTATCCACAGACGTCAGTTCAAATTGTAAGATGATCACTTTCCAAACTATTCTTCACTTGTTCATAAACACGTCTCTTCACATAATCACAGATCACAAGTTCAAACTCAAATATTCACGCTCTCACATTTCAGATGACCTCGCATTAGACAAACCCACAAGTGAGTTACACTCTTTATTGGTCAACAGATCGCACTATATCAGTCATGAAATGTAACTCAGTTCAGTCGAATATATACACTTTGTGACAATGTGATGTGCTAAATCGTTCAAGTAATATTTGCATTAGTTGAACACACTGTCATTCTGTGATAAACAAGCTAGACATAGGATCATTGAGAAATTTCATGGAACACACTGAATCATATACATGTGAAGAGATTTTGCTCAAATGTGTGAATTGTGATGAATATGGAAAAGAGTTGACCATGTTGATAAACTAATACAACGGGATGGAAATAGAATGTTGATCAGATTTCTGGGTTATATAGAACGTGTGAATTGTCAACAAACTGACCACACAATAACCGAGTGACTTCGACAGAATGACAGTCACTTTACAAGTTCTATAAGCGAACGTTATGTGAGAGAGAGAGAGAGATTGATAGAGAGAGAGAGAGAGGGAGAAAGCAAGAGAGAGATGTGTGGATGCATAGATGTACAGATGTTCAGACGAAGAGATGTGGAGAGAGATAGAGTTTGAAGAGAGAAATGTGCACAGACTGACACAGAATCCTTTCGGCACTGAAAACTACAATGTGCACATCGACAAACTGAAACAGATACGAACAAGTTTCAAAGACGAAACAGTGCGAAATCGCAACATTAAAATGTCATACCAATCAAAACGAAGCATCATTCAACGTGCTCAAACGAACACAATGATCAAACAAACTGCACTCAAACGAACACATCACCATGAGGAATCAAATCATAACTATTTATTTGACTGTGCAATGTATTACGATGAAAGTGATTTAGTAAGTTACCGATTTATCCACAGACGTCAGTTCAAATTGTAAGATGATCACTTTCCAAACTATTCTTCACTTGTTCATAAACACGTCTCTTCACATAATCACAGATCACAAGTTCAAACTCAAATATTCACGCTCTCACATTTCAGATGACCTCGCATTAGACAAACCCACAAGTGAGTTACACTCTTTATTGGTCAACAGATCGCACTATATCAGTCATGAAATGTAACTCAGTTCAGTCGAATATATACACTTTGTGACAATGTGATGTGCTAAATCGTTCAAGTAATATTTGCATTAGTTGAACACACTGTCATTCTGTGATAAACAAGCTAGACATAGGATCATTGAGAAATTTCATGGAACACACTGAATCATATACATGTGAAGAGATTTTGCTCAAATGTGTGAATTGTGATGAATATGGAAAAGAGTTGACCATGTTGATAAACTAATACAACGGGATGGAAATAGAATGTTGATCAGATTTCTGGGTTATATAGAACGTGTGAATTGTCAACAAACTGACCACACAATAACCGAGTGACTTCGACAGAACGACAGTCACTTTACAAGTTCTATTAGCGAACGTTATCTGAGGGAGAGAGAGGTTGATAAGAGAGAGAGGGAGAAAGCAAGAGAGAGATGTGTGGATGCATAGATGTACAGATGTACAGATGAAGAGATGTGGAGAGAGAGATAGAGTTTGAAGAGAGAAATGTGCACAGACTGACATAGAAACGTTTCGGTACAGAAAATTCCAATGTGCACATTGACAAACTGAAACAGATACGAACAAGTTTCAAAGACGAAACAGTGCGAAATCGCAACATTAAAATGTCATACCAATCAAAACGAAGCATCATTCAACGTGCTCAAACGAACACGATGATCAAACAAACTGCACTCAAACGACCACATCACCATGAGGAATCAAATCATAAGTATATATGTGACTGTGCAATGTATTACGATGAAAATGATTTAGTAAGTTACCGATTTATTCACAGACGTCAGTTCAAATTGTAAGATGATCACTTTCCAAACTATTCTTCACTTGTTCATAAACACGTCTCTTCACATAATCACAGATTACAAGTTCAAACTCAAATATTCACGCTCTCACATTTCAGATGACCTCGCATTAGACAAGCCCACAGGTGAGTTACATTCTTTATTGGTCAACAGATCGCACTATATCAGTCATGAAATGTAACTCAGTTCAGTCGAATATATACACTTTGTGACAATGTGATGTGCTAAATCGTTCAAGTAATATTTGCATTAGTTGAACACACTGTCATTCTGTGATAAACAAGCTAGACATAGGATCATTGAGAAATTTCATGGAACACACTGAATCATATACATGTGAAGAGATTTTGCTCAAATGTGTGAATTGTGATGAATATGGAAAAGAGTTGACCATGTTGATAAACTAATACAACGGGATGGAAATAGAATGTTGATCAGATTTCTGGGTTATATAGAACGTGTGAATTGTCAACAAACTGACCACACTATAACCGAGTGACTTCGACAGAATGACAGTCACTTTACAAGTTCTAGTAGCGAAGGTTATCTGAGAGAGAGAGAGAGATTGATAGAGAGAGAGAGTGAGAAAGCAAGAGAGAGATGTGTGGATGCATAGATGTACAGATGTACAGATGAAGAGATGTGTATTGAGATAGAGTTTGAAGAAAGAAACGTGCACAGACTGACACAGAATCCTTTCGGCACTGAAAACTACAATGTGCACATCGACAAACTGAAACAGATACGAACAAGTTTCAAAGACGAAACAGTGCGAAATCGCAACATTAAAATGTCATACCAATCAAAACGAAGCATCATTCAAAGTGCTCAAACGAACACGATGATCAAACAAACTGCACTCAAACGACCACATCACCATGAGGAATCAAATCATAAGTATATATGTGACTGTGCAATGTATTACGATGAAAATGATTTAGTAAGTTACCGATTTATTCACAGACGTCAGTTCAAATTGTAAGATGATCACTTTCCAAACTATTCTTCACTTGTTCATAAACACGTCTCTTCACATAATCACAGATTACAAGTTCAAACTCAAATATTCACGCTCTCACATTTCAGATGACCTCGCATTAGACAAACCCACAGGTGAGTTACATTCTTTATTGGTCAACAGATCGCACTATATCAGTCATGAAATGTAACTCAGTTCAGTCGAATATATACACTTTGTGACAATGTGATGTGCTAAATCGTTCAAGTAATATTTGCATTAGTTGAACACACTGTCATTCTGTGATAAACAAGCTAGACATAGGATCATTGAGAAATTTCATGGAACACACTGAATCATATACATGTGAAGAGATTTTGCTCAAATGTGTGAATTGTGATGAATATGGAAAAGAGTTGACCATGTTGATAAACTAATACAAGGGGATGGAAATAGAAGGTTGATCAGATTTCTGTGTTATATAGATCGTGTGAATTGTCAACAAACTGACCACACAATAACCGAGTGACTTCGACAGAATGACAGTTATTTTACAAGTTCAATTAGCGAAAGTTATCTGTGTTTTGATTTCTTGTTCCATTGGTCATTATCAGTTCGAAAATACACTGTTTTGAGTCTTCAATTTTTCATTGTGTTAGTATTCACGTGTCTCACACCGTACGATATAAGCCCTCAAAATTTGAATTTATTTGCACACTCATCTCTTCTTTGTTGTTATTGTTGTCGAATTCCAAAAAAGACTGTTGTATTGTTGACATTCTACTCTCTTGATATATATACACACACCCATCTCTCTAATAATTTCTTTTTAATAAATTGCTTGTTTGTCAATCCTTGTACACCTTCTCCTTACAACTAATTGAAAAGCCTTCACGAATTACAAATTATTGATTATAGTTCCAGAACATTTAAAAACGAGAATTAAACATTACAAAGATGCATATTATAAATCTTCAATACAAAAATGTAAGTTATTTAGAATAATCTTAAATTTGTTTCAATTCCAGTATGCTTATCGAATAAATCATCTTGATGTTTTTCATAAATCGTGTGTTTAAGGAATTGACGTTACGAGTGACTGTGGACCAACTGCGAGACAAACTTCACTAACGTATTATCAAACTGTATAATTTGTTACGCTCAACTTCTTGCTTTGATGGGCATAATTTTCGTTCGATTAATTAATTTTGCAAAATCATTACCACATTAGCTATGCATGTGAAACTCACATCTGGATTACCTAACGTCATCTCAAAAAATAACTGTTTTGGGTCCTGTGCACTTAATCATATACACTAGCAAATAACCCATTTTCATGAAATTCATCGCAGTTTGTCGTAGCACGTGTCCACCATAATTAACTCGGTCAAATCAACATCGTAAAAGATTCTTCTTTATCAAATAGAATTTGTAATATTCAACTATGAACAATATTCGAACTACTGTTGAAAAAAAACTATATGACTTTGATTTCAGTTTTATCTCTTGAACCATATACACGCGCGAGTTCCACAAGAGCACCACAGATATATCACGAAGGTAAGTTGTAGTATCAGTTTATTTGTTAAGCCCATATACTTTATTCTAGTTGCTGGCCAAGCCAATTCGCCTATCCATTATGAGTCATATTTTGATCTTGTTAATCAATTGCTTATTAACCTTGACTACTTTGTTATATGAGCGCATGTGTATGTACCCATCTTATCCTATCTATCACATGTCTGTCATTCATTTCTGTCCGACTATAAATGTTGATTAACGCTTGCTTAAATTGAGTTGGCTTCCCCGCCAATCTCCAATACGCATTGTTTTCGCTTCGCTCTCGAGTTGGCTTCCCAGCCATCTCCATTGCGCATGATCTTTGCTTCGTTCCGCTCTCATCTATTCGCTTCATCACTCTGATTCTCTGGCCAGATCAATGACTGTAGAAAATATATGTATCCTAATTCCATTCTCGTATTTGACTTATTTAACTCCGTTATTCACCAACGCGGATAAAGTTATTTATTATATACGAGGATAGACAGTACGTACGCAACACAAAGTAACTTGTTTATTAATTAAACTGGCTTACACAATTGCATGAAAAACGCTTTCAAAACATCTGCATTCCACAACGACTGACATGAAAACATTGATATGCTTTCGCTTCTCATGTATTGACGTAGGCGTGGAGACGTTTCAGCCTTATCAACTGAAGAATGAACAGAGTCAGGTCCATTGCTTATATTATTGAAAAAATTCGCTGATGAATTTCATTTGTTTAAAGGATGGTGGGGAACACTAAAGTTGCTGAGATTCAAACTATCGAATAAATTCGAACTTCACGTCTTCAAAGTTTAGTACAACAATGATTGTTATTCTTCAAAAATGTTTTCATTGTGTTTTCTTTGTAATACATCTAACGTGGTATTATCAACTGAGGAGTCTATGAATGTACTTCTGATGTATTTCTTACTTCTTCTAGAATGTCTGAGGTTGGAAAAATTATACTTCACAAAGTGGGCAGTACATTATCTATCAAGTAAGTCCTGTTGTGATACTTCTTCGTCTGTACAAATTGCACAGTTTGGATCTGTACTCACGGGATTTATTATTAGAAACACGAAGTCACTTATTATGAAATCAGGTGTATTTGAACTTTCTTTTTGCCAATAAGACTAATGTACCAAAGAAATGTTTGTGATTAGCACAATTCCTGGTCAGGTAGTTGTTATATAATGAATGATAGACGACATAGCATACCATGTCACTTCCAGATTTCAAAACAGTCCTCACAATGAGACCACACAGACCCAGTGAATTTCTCAAAATGGAGTATCGGATATCTGCGTCTGCTTTTAACTACGTATTTATTATTCTATTTTTTTTACAGAAACTGGAGCAACTGATATCACTCTGTTGCGAAGTTATGAAAGTACGTAGTTTTTCATTGATCTAGACAGTTTTCGGGAGTAAGGGATCGGCAGCTTATCTACAAAATGTTCCATTGTACAGTCCACAAAACTTAACAGATTAATATACGTCTTTGATTATCCGAAAATATCGCTATGTACATACAGATTCGTTTGACATACATACAAAATGTGCACGAAATGTTTGGATGCCTGGTTAATTATTAATTTTCAGAACGTGGTGCAGATCTCATCATCTGCAAGGTGTCTCGACTTGCTAAGTGAACAGGGTCTCCTTTTACGTTCACGGATGAAATATATCAGAGAAGCTGTTTCTCGCTAACAATACGACGAAAATGTGTAAAATATATAAAATTAGGTGATGACTACCTCATGCACATGGAAAAGCATATGAGCCTGAAATTTATGATTTGCACGAAACCGTCATGCAGTCTTAGATATACCTTCAGCGCAGTCCATGTTTCTCTGAACAAGATATTATTCAAATCACAGATCACCTTCAAACAGTGACTTTATAGTGTAAATGGACGAAATGATCCTCAATAGCTACCATAAACTCTCTTAATTTTTGTTTCCTTTTCCAAAAACAGATGAATACGAAGAGGCCAAGAAGGGAGATGAAAATGCTGACCCCCGTAGAGACTGTAATTATCATTATTATTTTAATTACTGCGAACAAATTTGAAACGGCTTCTCGTAAATATCCAATGGTTCTACTCTTAAACGTTGTTACATTCGACACAGTGGTTTACGAATGTTAGGCCTTCCTTCTGAGCAAAAGTGCCTGCAAAATCTACGTATTAATTAATAACACAAGCAATAAAGATGAAAAACGATTACTGTATTCGAAGTGACTGAATTTTTGTCTGATGTATTTGCACTCAGAATTAACATGTGGATGATAGTAATAATATGTATATACTGGAAATAATAATTTCAGAATTCACGCCAGTTTACAGGCATGGTCAGCTTCACATAAATGGAAACACTAGATACACGGAACAGACATGAGCAATAACGAATTAATTAAAATGATCTACAACTAAGGAAAGTAAAATGCAAACAGAGAGCACGAAACAACGATTACTGAGAACACTACTGAGAACCGTTTACAATCTAATGCGAATATTGTGACAGAGAAGTTTTAACGACTTTTCCTAGTGTTATAGTTGTCTTAACTTTATCGCCATTTTCACGAATGACCAGTGTTACTAAACATCTGACCCTGACGTCTGCTCACAGGTGGCAATATTGGTCATTGATTATTTATTATTATATGATTCACCAACAGTGATATAATGTCTATCATTTTCATGCACTTTATTTTTTCAACAACTGACGAGATTTAATTGAATGCTTATTGCATAAATTATTGCTTTCACAGGGGGTGGACGATTACGAGCACGTATTTCTGAGAAGTGGAAAGAGAGAGAACTTCTTGATGACGTCGAAAGTAATGTTACACATTTTTGCCTTTTCTAGTGAACGTAACAAAAACAGTAGAGTAAACCCACTGGTAACTTCAATTGACCTATCCACTAGGCATTCTATGATATCTCAAACGTTGAACGAACCAGATAAATTGTAATCATCGTTCATTATTGACAGCATAACAGACTGATATTTAGAGAGAACAATTTCAAAGCATTTGTGAGAAAGCATCCGACAATATTGTTTAAACTCTTTTAGCTACACAACTATAATCGGCAATTGGTTATTCAAATGGAAATTATTAGTGCAAGTATTCCCAAACGACAGTGGAAATGAACACAACTGAAACAAACGTTGTTGAATGAAATAGTGAAAGAATGTTCGTAAAATGATACACTGTCCGAGAGTCCAAGTGACACAAGGGAATGAGAAACTGTAAACATGAAAACTGTTCGTTTAGTAACTTGATAGGTTTATAATGAGAATCATTATTATTCCACTTTAAGGTGTTTACATCGCTGAACCGCACACAAACGTGAATGTGAATAAAGGTGAGTTTGGCATATTACACCTTTAAGTACGATTTTGTTTTTTGATAGCACCAACATTTTATTGTGTGAAGAGTCTGAATGACTACTGTTTATCTACAGTTCATACATTTTTAAACGCTTACATGTAAGCAAAGATGGAAAGTGGCGTTACAAACATAGCTACTGAGTCCTGATAGCCAAATTCCCGTGCAACAAGGTGAAGTTCAAATCCACTCGTAACCGTTCAGTTGAATCTTCCCATTGATGCTTGGCACTGCTATTGATCGGTCTCTTATTAGAATATGTAGATATTGTGTTTGTTGCCTCGATATTGCCTTAAGCGTTATAAGCAAAGATGGATAGTGGCTGGTAGTGGAATCCAGGACGCGCGTTTTGTCCTAGTTGGGACTCGTCAGATGGATGAAACTGAATCTCAGAGTTGATGTTTGCTCTGACACTCGATCACAATACCGTCAGTTTCAAACGTCATCGCGTTATTCACTTAGCCACTGATTTCTGATAGCTTCCATGTAGTTGCATCAAATTTGTCAAACAAATTTTAAACGATACTCTGTCAAAATGAATAAAACTAATCCGAAATGCCGTGGATAATGTATGATTCTGCTCTAAAAATTCACAGAGGAACTGAAGAAACAGTTAACGAATACTGGAAGTAAAATTGAAGCTCAACTCAGTAAGCTGAACATTCATAATAATGAGTTTTCTGTTGTTGCATGCCCAACTTACATCATGTGATTTGAGAAAATACGGTTCATTTGTCCTCATTGTTATGTCTTATAGTCTGTCAATTATCCCGTGACTAGATCGCAAATCAGAACACAGACTTGTACAACATTTTCTGGACCAAACCAATGACGTGTTTATCAGAACGAACAGCCTAGAGTCAACTCTCAGTCCGTATTATTTCTTCTCGTCTAGTCCTACACGTTTGAATCCAGAACACAATCCCGGCTTCCTTTCTATGAATCATATATTTCAAACATAACCAGTTTATATTCAAGCGAGTCCAACAACACCATACCATGAAAAAGAAAATAAACACTATACAAGGTCAAGTCCAAAGTGCCTATGAGTGTGAGTGACTGTAGCTATTAAATTTAAATAACTCGAAAATAATAAATCATACCATAATATTCAATGGGTCAAATGAATCTTCATAATAAGAGAAATGTAAGTATATATGTATATATAAACCAAATACTTACTAGTTATCCAATAGAAATATATGTATTAATGGTGCGTAAATAATTCCTAGCAGTTACCATTCATTCAATATTGGTTAGGATATAACATTTATAAGGTTGAAATGATCGTAACAACACATTGCCGACTGTGATGCGACAGAGTGGGGGAAACCTCCAATTTCACATCCACCAAGGAATTCAGCTAAACTTATGTTGTTGTCATTTCATTTCTTTTGACACAATTCAAGTGTAGTTACTACGTGAAATACAACTATACACAAGTTGTTATGCTAACTACACACACACCACCACTCTCAGACGGTTCAGCAGCAATATGGTTTTCATAATTAAACTTATGAATTGAAAATGAGTTTAATTTCTGATTGTCGGATTAAATCAAATACTTCATGTGCTTTGCCAACTGTAACCACTTTTTTATTGTTTTCTTAGATATTGTCAAGCAATTGGAATCGAAGGCGATACAAGCAGCAAATAAATACATGAATAATAGAGGTGATAAACTTAGCATGTTTTTATTCAAAACAAATTCTGACCGTCAATCTAAAATTGATTAGACGACACATATCACAAGTAATATCAGGGATATTGCAGAAAAATATTAGGCTGTTGTTTACAATTCAGTCTTGAGTAAATGCTAGTGCAATTCACATTGTTTGAGGACTATGAGAAAGGCGTCTCCGGACGGAATATTAATTCACTTATAATAATACTCAAGATGTTTCATTGAAAAACGAAGACATATTTGCTCAGTGATGAAGAAATCGAAGAGGGTTGATTGTCTGTAAATAATGCAATAATTATGAACAGTTCGGAATGACAGTTATTCTTTTATATTTGTAGACTAGATTATTCTAGTTGATGAGATGGTGAATTCAGGCAACAGATAAATCACATGTTACTTAATATTACTGAAGTGTTTAATTACAACCTTTCCTGTAATTCTTAGTAACGTGATACCTAATGTAGTGAACTATAATCGTGGTATTATGTATGCATGTATATGACACTTCCTAGTTTATTTTAAATCATTGGAAGCTTATATTTATTTTTCTTACCTTAGATGATAAGTCACTTGAAAAACAATATTATGAAGCCGATTCAACACTAGCCAAAGAATTACGTAATCATATTTACATATTGTATAATAGTTTATATCATTTAATTGTAAAACTGTAAGCTTCATAAAAGGTAATGTGAACCATTTGTTTCATAAAATAGTGTCTGTTCTCAAATTGATATGGGTTGGCCTACATACAATATCTTTTGTTTCTTTTCATAGGTTCATTGGTTGACCTAATGGGAGAAGCTGAATTTCAAAGGATTCTATTATTAACTAGTATGCTTTAAGATTTTTAACTTTATTTTTCTTAGCACTACCCAAAGATGAACAAATAAATATCATTATACAAGCAATGAATAAAGATTCAACCAATTGCAGCTGTAAGTTTCAAAGCACACATTGCAAACGTTTCTCATGAGTCGACATTGACACACGAGGTCAAGAAACGTCGAACAGTATTCTCATATTCACTGCTTCTTAAATATTTTTATTATAGAATAAGTATCCAAATGATGTTCTTCCTGAACTAAACATACAAAAGCGTAGTTGTTATTTACTAATAGAAAGAATGCTTGGTCGAATATTATCATATTATATCCTCATACATTTTTGCCAGAAACGTTCACTGCGATATTTAAGAATTATACGTCAGTGATTTTTCAATGAACACAGTACCATAACGATAAATTAATATGATAACTTATGAATATAAATTGTAAGAATATACATTGATAAAACAAATTGTCATTTCGAAAATAACGAGAATATTCGAATTCGGATGATGCATACTTCCATATAAATATAATACACTTCTTCCCTTGATTTTTATACAAATGCAAAGTTTACTTTTCCGTCAGCTGTGTGAATATGCTATCACTAAATATCTCACATCACGTCGTTTCACATTTTATTCAGTAGTATCCTTTGTTAGTAGTTTGTCAGAAATGCACTCAAGTTTCTTGTTTAAGCGCTAGAATTTGCAAACGTACTTCCTTGGAAATTTACTCCACTCTCTATTTTTCTGTTCCAGGAGAATGTTAATGTTTTCAACTAAACCTCAGTGTTCGTTTATGATATGGACAGACATGTTTTGGATCGTTAACAGTTTTCTGTGTCAATTGCTTTTTCAATAAATAATACGCACAAACATTTTCTTCCGATTTATTTCATTTTGCGTGCAATTACAACATGATGTCGATGAAACACCATCAATGTCAAGCAAAATGTAGGCAAAAGATTAACAATATTTATTTACTCTGAAGAATTGAGTTACATTGAGTCACGAAACGTCAGAAATACAATTTTCCACTCATTGTGATATCACAAAAATATATATCTATAATTAGTGTTCCGGCCTGCTCAAAATCTTTTATCTTCATTAGAGAATGCATACGGTTGAAATATCCATATGCCATGATTTTAAACAACCTGTGAAACGATCAAGTCATTACCGGGAAGTTCATTAGGTCTTCTCCACTCACTTAACAAGTTTATTCATAAACGAAACCAGATGTAGACAATTGTACAGTCCAAAGATAACTATATATATACGGTAATCAATGTTGGTGATCATGTTTGATCTAGTTATGTTCACATAAATTAGAATGAAATATCAAGTCAAATGGGAAGCACAACCACATATTGAAATCACATTCGTTAATGGAATTTCGCAAAAATACTTTCGAAGCAACTGTGAGATTTAGTTGCTAGGGTTTGACGTACTGCACGAAGAATCCAGTTGTTGTCACAACGATATACACATGCAAACTCAAAAAATAATTTTCACCATATATAGAGCCTATCATTTCAAATTCTCGACTGTTTTCCAATTAAATTTTATGGCACTCAGTAAATACTCTAATGAATACGCTCGGTAAGTTGCTATCGACGAACCTAGGTGGATAACCGTTTTGGATGAGGGTCTGTCGAAGATGAAGTAGTTCTTCATTTTTGGTCTCATTGGAAAAAATTAGCTTGATCCTTGAGGATAAAGAGTGAATTGAGCTCCTCTTTCGACTCAGTGGAACCCAACTATGGAAATTCGTGTATTGTGCATTCCAAGCGGGTTTTCTATACAAAGAACTTTTTAAATAACCATCAGGTATTCTTTTTCTAACGGACATCAAGAACATGGAATTCCTAGTTCACTTCTGCCTATAAGGTAAATTGACTTGGCGGATGACAATTATTGAAAATATTTAACATTTCATTGTGGTCCATGTCATCTTCACAAATAATGAAAGTATCATCTATATATGTCATATATAAATGAAATTTCTCAATTATTGTGCGAAGTACAGAATTTTCTAGATTGGCCATGAAACAATCAGCCAAGAGAGGACCCAATCGAGAGCCCATTGCAACTCCATCTGTTTGTCTATAGAAAACATCATTAAATTTAAATTGCACGTTGAGCGTACATCGTAGAAGTAGTTGTTTAAGATAATGTTTTGGGATACACGCATCAAGGTTATTGCTTTCAATATAGTCACATGAAAAACAAATAGTTTCTGTGAGAGGAACATTTGTAAACAGCGAAGTGACATGTAATGAGAACATTTTCTTACCAATTACGTTGATATTTCTAATTGAGTCGACAACTTCAAAGGAATCAAGCGAGCTGTATTTATTGATGTGATTTTTAACAGGTTGTAAAATGTCAACTAACGATTTAGCAATTGAGTGAAATGTTTATATCAAGTATGGGACGTAAAAGGACATTATTCTTATGAACTTTTTGGAGTCCATATAGTCTAGCATTAACGGAACCCGATGGTTTGAGATGTTCAAATAGGTCACAATCGATAATAACCTCATCTTTCATCTTCCTTAAGATTTTAATTAGCATCTGTTCCTTTATTTCAGTTGTGTCATTTTGAACGGTTTCTTTAGAGAATTTGACTGGATCAGATAATATCGAAGACATTTTGGAAATATAGTCAAGGCGAACCAAAAGTACAATTCCTGCACCTTTGTCTAAGCGAAATAAAACTAGGCCCTGATTTTTTCGAAGATCAGATAACTGAGATTTATGTTTTTTTCGTTTGTTATTATCTAATACAAGTTATCTTGATTATTATTCAGATTATTATTATGACCTTTGTGTTTGTCGCTTTTCTTCATATTTGTCAAAAGGACTATCTGACCCATAAATTATTAATTTCTTTCACACCCCTTGATTAGGACGTAACCTCATTTATTATTTGTTGCTGAATCAATTTATAATAATAATATATTCTGAAAATAATATTTACAGAATTCACACCAGTTTACAGGCATGATCAGATTGTTGTAAAAATCAACATCTAATGTAGAGAGCAAACATGAAATATAAGAAAGTTTTATGTTTGCTGGTTCAGTAATTGTTAAATAGTTTATTTATGACATGTATTACGGCAAGCCAGTGCAACACCAGGGAACTTGTCATTCTTTCTTAAATGGATAGCCTGATGATTAATCAACGTTTTTCTGTAAGGTTATTCCTAGTGCCAAAGCGAGTTATTGATAATTATCTACAACTAGAGAAAGTAAGATTAAAGTAAAGAGCACGGAACAACAAAACAATGATGGCAAGTAAGAGGTTAAACACTTAAAGTTCCGATAATCTCACTTGTTGAGTAAGATTCACTTGCAGGCGCTAGAGCATTTAATGCATTTTCAGAGGAGCAAAAGGCATTAATTGAGCGAAAAAAACAATGGGAGGGAGATTAACATACGGGTAGTTTGAGGTAAATTATTCCAGAGCCTAGAAAACTTACAGGCAAAGTAATTAATACAGAGAGTAGATCTAGAATACGTTTGTTTGGCTAAAGACAAGAAGTTACGAATGTCGTAATGTGAGGCTTTAGCGTATTGAATCGCCTGGCTGGTTGTGAAGGAAAGTTTGTTAAGTATTTTTAAAAAGAAGATAAGGTTAGGTTTGAGTCTCCTCTTCCATAAAGGGTCAAGCCCTAGTTTACTACACCTCGAATTATATGACAAGACACTATCAGTTCCAAGAGTACGAAGTTTAAATCGTCTCTGTACTGATTCCAGTCTTAATTTATCCTTTATGCGCGTGCTACTAAGGAGAAACGCGCAGTATTCGAGGAGTGGTCGAACACAGACTTTGTACATTAATATACGAGATTCGCTGTTATGAAGGTTTCGAGTTATGTAACCTATAAGGCGTTGAGACTTGGACGTTTGTTTTATTATCTGTTCAGTAAACGACAAGTCGTCGGAGTACCTTAGTCCTAGATCTACTACTGAGTGTAACCTAGATAACATTTCACCATTTATGGTAAGATCGAGGTTGAGTGATGTATCACCGAAGCATAACCAACCACATTTAGCTGTATTAAGCTCCAGTTGCCATTTCGAGCACCACTCGGCTACATTGTTAAGCTCCGAACTGATACAATTTTGAATATTGCTCAGCTCATGTGGAGAAAATGAGTACACCACCTTAAGATCGTCTGCAAACAAAAGGGACTTACCCACACTAAAACACTCACAAATATCATTAATGAAAAGTAGAAAGAGCAAAGGACCTAAGAAACTGCCCTGAATTACCCCACTTCTAACAGGGACTGCATTCGACAATGAAGAGTTGATTTTAACTATTCGATGTCGATTGCTGAGGAAGGAATCAAACCAGGCTAGTAACGGGTTTTGGACCCCATAAGATGCGAGTTTACCTACGGGAAGTTGATGGTTGACCATGTCGAAGGCCTTAGAAATGTCCAGGTATAGCACTAGTACTAGATATCCTTGGCTAGGAAGATAATGGACTAAATTAAAGAAGTCAAAATGACATGTCATAAAAGACCGATTTTTAAGAAATCCATGTTTCGAATCATCAGCAAATTGTTCAGTCAATAAATAGTTGGAAAGTTCGTCACTAATAATTTTTTCCATAATCCGAGAGATAACTGGAGTTATATTTATTGGCCGATAGTTGTTCATGTCAGTCTTATCTCCGAATTTGTAACGTGGTATGATGTACGCGGTTTTCCAACGGTCAGGATAAGAGCCTGAGAGAATGTAAACAGCTTAAGGAGAAGAAGTGGAATATCTGGACCACCATATTTGTAGAGAAATGATGAAATCCCGTCTGCTCCGTGACCTTTCGAAA